CTCTGGGCAGCCTGTTCCAATGTTTGACTACTCTTTCCGTTTAGTTACACTTCTGCACATAATTACATTTCCAATGTGGCCAGGAGCCTACAACATGCTTTATGGCAGGAGACACAGTTCCAATTTACTTTTTGTTGTCTCTGTTATGTGTTGCTCTAATAGTGCCCTGGGGCAGTTGGGAGGAGGCACTTTGCCCCGCTGCGCTCCTGAAGTCAGTATGTGATCCCAGTTGGTGACTGGGCAGCACTGGAGTTGTGAGTGATGCCTCTGCAGTCGGTGACAACACTGTCAGCAGCTTGCCACCCTTCCTGCCTGCCCGCCTGGCTCTGCAGGGCTGTCACAGCCTTTACCTTTGCTACTTTCCAGGTCTCGCCCAACCCTGTCTAGGCCTGCCGTAGGCTTTTATTTTATCTCTGACTCACTTTCTCTGCTACAAGAAAGTGTGCTGAGGGCAGTTAAAGCCCCCCAACTTTTCATTCCAAGTCATGTGGTAGAAAGCAAGCATGAAGGCTACCTCAGCACCTCCCTCCTGCATTTGTAGTGTGTTGCTCAACACCCAAAGCAATGTGAGGCTGGTCAGATAGATAAACAGGTAGTTCCTGGGATGACCCAGGTTCACCAACAATATGGTTATTGGCTCCTTAACCAGGAGTTGGTGTGTCTCAGTATCTACGTGGGATTCTGCATCACTTAAAAATCCAAAGTGTCAGGGTGCGAGGGGCAGAAATTATCTGCATCTTGTCCGCCCCTTGGTCAGATGTGTGGCTGTGCTTTGTTCACTTACCTACTTGTTTGTGAAGCTGGAGTTTTCTTCTGACTGTGTGCATGCAAAGCAAATATTGACTCGTGGGACCAGTGGCATTTGCAGCTCCGGGATATGCCTTTGCCTGACCGCAGGGAGATACTGGTGGGGGAAGGGAAGGCAAAGGGCTTTCTGCTGAGAGCTCCCCTTCTGCATTTCATTGCACAAGTCGGGATTTTAATTAGGAAAAATGAAGCTTTCCAGGTGTGAGGGGACAGAAATGAACTGCCTGACTCAGTGCAAGGTTTGATTTTTGTCTGATCTCTGAAAGAGGAAGAGTCGGTCTAAACATTAAATTGGATGCAATCTACATGGGATTTTAAAAGCTGAGCTGGAAGAGGCTTCTAGAACTAGACCTAAGTGTGTGGCCTCCAGATGAGTACTGTGGCTTTGCAATCACTTTTCTCTCTTCCAAAACATACTTTAAAAAAAAAAAAAAAAAAAAAGGGAAGAAAATAAAGAGCAGTGGAAACCAGCTTACAGTCCAGAGGTGGCAGTGTGATTTACTGCAGGCAGTGTTGCTTCATGTTCAAATTAAGCATAATGGAAGCGGAGTTTTTCCCCATGCTAGCTTACTGTCAGAGTGTTGGATACGCTGTTCCTATGACAGTGGATGAAAATCATTCTACAAAGAATTGTTACACTTGTTCTGGTCCTTCTGATAATGTTCACTGACAGCTCCTGCATAGTTACTAGTTGTAATGTTTTCAGCATACAAAAACATTGCTTTGTAAAATGTTCATCTTCTGCACAGTCTGTCTGCTAGAGGTATGTTGCTTTTTGGTGGCTTTTTGGTGGATTCTTTTGTTGCTAAAATCAGCAGGGGAAGAATGCTCCTGGGAAGGAGTTTCTGTCCCAAAATAAGGATCCTACTGAAGGGATCATTTCACACCTAGTACATCCAGGCACTACCACAGCAGGCTTAAGTGGAGATCACATGGCAAAAGAGGCCAAGCAAGTAAAACATAGGCAGCAGGAGATTGTTATCTGGTGTTTGCAAGAAGCCAGGTAATTGAAATCTCTCATATTGTAGCTGTGTGGAAGAGCAAGTGTGTCCAGAGGAGGCTTGATATTGCCAAGTGGAAGTAAATTTGCAGGTCTCCTTTGCAAACATCAATTTCTAAAGGACACCTACGCTGGAAAAGAAACTAATTGGATATAATCCTACGCAGTGTGTATTTGCAACTCTGACAAAGGTGTTGCAGCTGGAGAGCTTCAAATAGCTGTACCTGATGCTGACTGCATGCTTCCCTTGCAGCCTTCTTTTTCAGGTACACATGCTGTCATTATAGCTGTCTTCTAGCAGGCTGGAATCAATGGTGGTGTGATTTGTTTTAGAGTCTGAACTCAAAAAGTAAAGCTGCAAATAACAGGTGCCATTGGCATTTTAACAAAAAAATGCATTTCTTTTGAAGTGTGAAGACCACTTGTTGTGTGACCAAAATTGCTTCATATAGGAAACTTAAATTGCCTTTAAACATGGGAGATGCTTCTTAATGCATGGGTGAAAACTGGTTTTCATTTTAGAGTTCTGAGGGTTTGGGAGCTGCCATTAATATTTGTTGGATCTGATGTGGTTTTTCCTTTGTATCCCTTAAGTGTTGCTCGTTTTCAGAAGTGAGTATTGTAGAAATAACACAACTAAGTTAGCTGTAGCAATTTCATGCATGCAATTTCACAGGCTTCATGGGAGCCCCTTCTGTTACTTACTGTCTCCTGGCTAGGACAGTTTGAGAGTTGCTTTAGGTTTATATCCCTCAGTCAAAGGAAGGAACTTATATATCAATCCCATATGCCAGATCTCCCCCTCTTCCTCCTGGCTGGCACTGGGTGGTGCCTGGCTGTGCCAGGGAACCTTCCTCCCAGTTCGTATGATGCTTTACTGGAGGCAGAATGGGAGCAGGGAGAAAGCAGGGTGATGAAGAGCTACAGGGCTGACATAGTGGCCTCTGCACCTTCTCTTGGAGACACCTGGCTCCGTGGGCAGTCCCCAGCGCGCCGCCTCCGTGTGCCGCAGCAGGATCTTTCTCTTGATGTGATTCACGCTCCCCAGCCTGCACTTCCACACACCCTGGTGCCAGCAGCAAGGTGAGCCTCTCATGCTCTCTCTGGGCCCCGTCCCAGATGGGTGCTTGCAGGAAGGTTTCTATAGGAACCAGGGGCAGGAAAAACCTGCCCACCCAGTTCAGTACTCTAATGTCAGGGACCGGAGGGCAGGGGAGTGATCTCCAGCAAGGCGGAGGCCAGCTTGCGATGACGTGGACAGGGGAAGGTGTTCCCCTCTGCTACACCTGTCCTGGGACGAGGAGGGACTTTCGGCCTCAGCACTCTCCTGCCCTGCTTCCTGAGCACCGTGGTTAATTCACTTGTTATGGGGTGTTTTCTCATCTATGTGCCTAGCACACTGGCCCAGCTCCTCCGTAGCAGGGTGGTGCAGCAGTTATTGTGCATGCAATGAAGGTTAATGACTGAGGGGGATCCCTACGCCACAAGCTTGAGGCACTGAGCAGATTTAGAGCACAGCCAACGAGAAGCATGGCAGAAGTACCACGTGCCTGAAACAGTGACTGCGTTCCTACTAAAAGTCATTAGAAACAGGGTGAGGGAAGACAGGGGAGAAGGACACATTGCAGGCTCAGGAACAGAGCAGTTGTGGTCACAGGGCAGTGATAAGCCTGAAAAAAAGCATCAAAATGCATTCACAGTGATGTTGAAAGGGGAATAAGTATTGTCAGCAGATTTACCTGCTTGTTGCGCATGCTGTGTGCGTTCCCATGTAGAATGAGTGTGCAGGTGCTTATTTGGTAATTCTTGTTATGTCTTCAGCTACTGAGAGAAAAGTTGGTGCTAAGGGAACAGGTGGGGCTAGAGTGATGGACAGGATAGAAGAACATTTACAGAACTTGTGGGTAGGCAACTGGCCATTGTGTGGGCAGTGTCACTTCTCAGAAACAAAAGCTGAACTTTTTCTTGTGGGTTTTTTTTTTTTTTCTTTTTGCCCTGAGAGTTGGTGTCAGAAGATCAGAGTGTCTGTTCATCCATGCCAGCCTTTCTCATGCAGAGAACTGTTTAAATCTGGGAGGAAGATGCCTTATCATTTGTGGTCTCAGACACAGATGCTTTTTATGCTTTTGCAGTGTTTTACAATTGCTTATCTTGGAGTGCTGTAGCAAGCCACTTCCAGGCTGCAAGTGCTCACTGAGATGCAAAGGCAATATAACTTTGTACTATTGAGCACTATAAACATCTTGGACAGGGCCTGCTGGATGAATCCCTGGGGTTCCTTCTTTTAGTGGTTTGCAGTCATAAGTAGCTTTACTGAAAAGGGGAAGCTGGAAAACCCATCCCAGACGTGCAGATGTTAGTTTCTCCCAGGTTCTTTCCCACCTAAGTGCAAGTGACTGGTACATCCCAGCACTGGCTTTATCTGCTTGGTAGAGGTGACTCTTGCTGTCTCCCACACACAGTTATAAGGCTGATTTTAAAGTCCAAAATATCTCTCTCTGATTACTGAACTGTTCCATTGTTGTCCTGGAAAAACCCTGTAAAAATCTGCTGTGAACTGGTATCAGGAAAGTAAGGAGGGGAGCTATGTGGGTTGTTTCGTCATCTGAGTTCTATCACCAGATTTAGTTTAGAGGAGCCTGGCTCCTGGCTCATTGCAGAGGTACTCGATTGCATGTTGTCTATATCCTAGTCGAGTTCATCACAGAAAATCCTTGTCAGAAGCTTTCCCAGCTCCCTTCAGGGAGCTGTATTCCACAGCCTAATATACTTTGCTCTTGTGACGCTACCCCTAAAATCTCTTTCAGGCTTATTGCATCTAATGATACCCCCTTGTACCCTTTTCACCATTCCAGTCCCTTCTCCATGAGCAGTGTACAGGACTCACAATATGTGATGGAAAAGGTGATGAAAGTTGACTTGGTTTTTGACATTCTTTCAATCAGCAATGCTGTTACTGTCACAAGGAATTTGGTAAATGACAGTGTGCTCTTTCTAGCTGATGGGTAGGTATGAAACCAAGAGGAAATTCCAGTCTCTGGAATTTAATTTTCCTGTGGGGAGCTTAAATACTAAGGGATTTAATTTTCCTGTGGGGAAGTTGTGTGCGAGGGGTCTGTCTGTCACCCACCATGTTCTTAGATGCTAATTGAATTCTCTCATCATGATTTTTTTTTTTTTTCCTTTTTATAATAGGATAGTGACCTTTCACCTCTGAGAACAGCATTTCTGGACCTGCTGACAGCCTCTGCTACTTGGACTTACCTAGCACAATGTCAGGTGAGCGACAAAAATGGACACAGTATCTTCTTGTTTGGTTGCTTGTTCTTTCTTCAGCTGCAACTTAGTAAAAGAAAGTTACTGGTTCCAAGAGCCTTTCTTTACATTAACATACTGTCTGGTCAAAACGGGGGAGAGGAAACTGTCCCACTCTTTGTCACCCAGCTGCCTTTTCACTCATTGTGAACTCAGTTTCTTCTTTTACCCTGTGCTGAAGCCTGCAGAAGCTGCTTCAGTCATTGATCACCAAGGAAGAAGGAGGTTGAAATGTAGTGTGCCTTCTCCATTTTTCATAAGATTTGCTTGGTTCTGTTCTCCTCCCAAGATTTCCCCCAAAGTGGGTGGCTCGCTTATGATCTGAGAGATTTTTGCTCTACAGTGGTAGCTCTAGGGCAGGCAGAAGGCTGAAGATTTACTGGAGTTCAACTGTGGACTACTGAACTTTACTAAAAGTAGGTCTCCTCCTTCTTACAGTGGCCAGCTCTCCCACCCCATATTTTTGTCTAAACCTTCCTTCCTGGTCCAGCTGGTTATTTCAGGGCATATAACCCTGAGGGAGACTATACTTCACTTCAAAGCCAAGTAAACATTTTTGTCGGCAATGTGCACAGTGGAAGACCTGGGACATGCTTATCTGCTTCAGTTGCAAAACTTGATGTGTGCTTTTACTCCAGGGGAAGCTATTCGGTGGGACAGTACCTGAGACTGGAAAGTGTTTATCTTGAACACAAAAGCCCAAGGTGATAGGCATGCTTTCATTCCTGCAGCTCTCTATACATGGTCTGGCAATGTTCCAGCCCTTCTGGAGCAAAGGGAGCAGTTGAGCATCTTGCTGAGGGCTCTGATTTCCCATTTTGGTGCCTGGGTGACAAAGTTTCAGGGAACTCTGGAGTGCTGCTGGTTGCTGGGGTCAGTGCCTCTGTGTGAGGCATTTACTTCTCCATAATAATTTTTCTTTTTGTAATGGTTCCCCTGGCTTGGCACAGATTGCACAGCTTTTCCAAGCAGAAGAAAAATCACATGATGCCATGGAACTATTTCTCTTCCCTAAAAGTCCCTTTCTTAGAGGGAACTCCATTTTGCCTTTCTGTTTCTTTTGCTCAGTAATAAGGGACAAAACCATCTGAAATTACTTGCTTCCTTGGTGAAGTGGGAGCTGTCTCAGTGCCTAGAGTAGCAGTAGTGACAAACTGCTGGGTGAGTCTTTCCCTTGCTGGAACAGTCTGTACTGAGTGTGCGTCTTCCAAGGGAGTCCTTACAGGTTTTCACTGCTGTATGTTGATCTCTTTCTGTTTAGGCCATCACACTCCCTCCGCTGGGGGTCCCTTCTCAGCACTCACTCCCAGCATTTGGCCTCAGGAGATCCTGGCAAAATACACACAGGTACATACAGCGTGGGGCAGGGAGGGGGTGTTCTCTGGGTCTGCACAGAAGTAAAGGGACACTGGTGATTTCTGCTGGTCTCTGAAAGCTGCAGGGAAAAGGAGGGAGAGGTGCACTTTTTGTCTGGTGGTTCGGTTGTGGATGCTTGTTTGCTGCTTAAACTTCATGTGTTTTGCGGCTGCATCCTGGCTTTTACAAGAGGATCTTGCAGAGCACAAAGAAACTTGTGTGAATTATTGCCCTGCTGTTTTGCAATTATTGCTCCACTGTAAAAATGTTGACACCCTCAGGGGGTCTCTGTCACCATCAAGCTACTCTGGATGGCTTGTGCATGGCAGGAAGTGCTAGCCTCAAGACTTGTCACCAGGTGGACAGAGCAGGAAGGAAGGCAGCAGCCATGGAATTTTGCAACTTACCCACAGTGTTTGCTGAAGGCAGTTGAGTTCAGTGAAGCACATTAAAGTTTATTGTGAATCTATGCTAGAAGCACGCTTCTTGGGTGCTGTCTGGGTGCAGTGCTTGTGAGAGACCCCCACAGGAAGGGCAGGTGGACTTGCAGGGAAGAGGAGGTATCTGTAGGTTTTCACTCCTTAAAAAAAGCCTGGTTGTAACCTCCGCTGTGTATCTCACAATGCTAACCATGAGCACAGATGAGGAAAGTTGAGATTTGGGTGATGGATCTTAACTTTCTTTGGCCTATAATTTGGGCTTGCTTCACAGATGCAAATCCCAGTTTTGCCTGCTGTCTTTCAGAGAAAATCTGAAAGCAACAGGCAGGAGATGGAGCAATGCAGGGAGCTGAATTTGTAGCGTGTGTGCACTAGGTAACAGAGGACTGCTGTGTATTAGAGATGCAGGCAGTAGAGACCACTTTAGCTGGTGTGTGTGGATTCCTCAGTCCATGAGGAGGCTGCGTTCCCCTCCAGGTGGGGAAGTTCTGATCTTGATATGATGCTGCACTCAAGCAGAGGTACCAAGCGCTGCTGGAAAAGGGATGGCTGGGAAAATCTGTACAGGTAGGAAAGCAGGGCTTCACAACTTACTTCCATGGAGGAGTCAAAATGGGGGTGGCATGCAACACCTCCCCAGCTGGGAATGGTGGGTGGGAGGCATCAAAAATAAAAGGGCAGGGAGTCTAGTTGCTCAGAGGGCACAGTGCAGGCAGTGGTGGGATGGGACAATATCCACATGTCTCTATTAAGTTGTTCAAGACTGGTGATGGTGTCTGTTCTCCTTCCTCACGTTCCCCAGAAAGAAGAATCCATCGAACAGCCAGAGTTCCACTATGATGAATTCGGTTTCCGAATTGATAAAGAAGGTAAAGTCAGTCCCATCCCTAACCCTTCCATTGTGTCTGGGTCCAGCCTTTCCCATGCTTCCAGGTAATTTTACAACCATTCTGTGCTAGGTCTCATCTACCCACCCATCATCATCTTTCTGTATCTTATCATTGTAATCAAGGGCTGTGCATTAGACATGCTGGCCTTATGAGAGTCTGGAGCATAGAATATGCAGCGGAGTCATTTCCATCCCTTTATGCTTGTGCCGTGGGTAAGAGAGAGAGGAAAGTTAAGAGGAAGTTATTGTCTCCACTAGTAGCTGCATGCTGGGGAAGAGCAACTTTCCCAGTTGGCAGTGGGGTCTCTGTCATGGTCAGTAGCACTGTAAGCACTGATAGCAGGCACAGTGACATGTGCTGTCTGATGAAAAACTCGCAGCCAAGATGAGTGGCAGCAGTATGTGTTCTGCCCAGCCTAGCAGCTTGGCAAAGTGTAGGGCAAACCTTAGGGGCAGAACCCACATCCTACTTTTTCTGCAAAATATAGAGGCAGGAGACCAAATAGGAGGAGGTGTGGAGAGCTATTGCAGCTGGGCATTGAACTACAACAGCTGGCTGCCTTTGCGAAGAGGAAGAGAAAGGAGTGGGGGACATAGGAATTGCTTTATGTGCTCTGAGAGGACATTTCCAGGGCTCAGGGCATATAATGCAAGGGCAGAAGTTGTTTGTATGTGTGCCTTGAGGCACCTTGAGTCATAGAGGATCTTCTTTGAAACAATGACCTAGAGATGAGGACGGGACACAGCGATTTTCTTCAGCCGGAACATTTGATAGACTTGTACATTATAAAATCAGCAGAAAGATTTGGACTGCCTTGTTGGGATGTGTTATATGATGATGGACAGAGTGCCTTACGTCAAACCTATACTTGTGCTAAAGTATCTATTTTAGAAAGCCAGCCTCAGGTTAAGGTGCTCTCTCATTGTGAATTTGGAAGTGTCCTCAGTAAAGCTTTTTTGGTGATTAAATATCCCCAAAGTTAACATTTTGCACCTCATTACTTGCATGAGCATATAGCTTCTGCTTGCCACCTCTGAGGCTTGCTGTGCTTTCGTCAGCCTGATTTACGGATCCATACAAAACCCAGCAGGATGACTGCTGCCAGGGTCTTGTTTAATTCCAGCCACACTCTGCACTAAATCATGACTAAGTAGAGACTAGAAGCCTGTTGACAGCTGCTTAGTTCTCCAGGCCCAGTGCCTTTTGCTTATGACGATAAAATTTACTGCATGGAGAAAGCAGAAAGCACGCTTTGCCTTTCCATGCTCTGGCTGGAAGACATGAGTGTTTTAAATGTGCTTTCTTCAAATGGCCATCCTCCTCCCCACCCTATTCTGTGCTTGTTCCCTCTCCTCTTCAGTCTCTCACTTGTCTCCATTTCTTTCCCTTCCCTTCACTGAGGCAGATGGTGCTGAGCCAAACTCCAGCAAGCTTCTGGGGGTCCCACTGACAGAGGAACCACAGCAGAGGCTCAAGTGGCAGGCTCATCTGGAATTCACACACAACCATGACGTGGGCGACCTCACCTGGGACAAAATTGAGGTCACTCTACCACATTCAGACAAGCTGCGCTCCCTGGTGCTAGCCGGCATCCCGCACAGCATGAGGCCGCAGGTGAGAGTGCTGCCTGTTCTGGGCAGGCTCTCCTGCCTGGAGTAGGAGACAGTGGAGAGAGACCACTTTCTCTTGGTTGAGAGGGTGCCAGATTATGGCTTTCTGTGTCTCTCTTACCGACTCCTCCTACCCTGCCCCCCAGCTGTGGATGCGCCTGTCGGGGGCCTTGCAGAAGAAGAGGAATTCAGAGATGTCATATCGGGATATCGTGAAAAACAGCTCTAATGATGAAACCATTGCTGCCAAACAGGTAGGAGATACTGCCTAGTGTTGACTGGGCACAAGGGAGTGGGGAGAAGGGCAAGATTTGCTGCATGAGGATGAAGGGGTGTCTGCCTAACACCTGCAGCAGGGACAGTTGAGAGGGCATGTGTGGTTGAATCCTGCTAAAGCTTAATCCTGTTGGGCATGTCTCTCCTTTGTTTTGTTGGACTAGCAACTGCGCAGCTCCACTCCTTCCTAGGACAGCAGGGAAGGGGTTGGACCCATGCTGCCTGCAGGCTAGAAAACAGGGCTGCAGTTGCATCCCAGCAAACATCCTGCTATTCATCAAGGGAAGTAAAGGGTGAAAGGCTGACAGGTGCACTTCTGTTGAGGTAGTGGCAACTGCTTCCAGGGACTCTCTTTGTTCCCTCAAATACAAAGTCTCTGAACACCAACAAGACTGTTACAGGGTATTTTCCCTCTTCCTCTGACTTCCCCTTTTGTGGGAGGAGGCAAAGGCCATGGCAAAAGAAACTGAGCTCTGCACATGTTCACTTTGCACTGAGAAGCTAAGTTCAAAATCTTTGGAAGGAGGAACAACACTGCCCAAGGGAGATTTGTGGGCTGTTCACCTCCAAGTCCCCTGTCACAGATGTGGCCAAGTTGTTGGTTTCTTTCTGTGATAGGTTTGTTGGGAAGCCTTGCTTGAAATCCAAGCAGATGAAATTCCCAACCAGTATGCCTTCTATTCTCAGTGGTGAAGCTAGGGGCTGAGTTTAGGCAAGTATTTCTTGGGAGACACCAAGTCACCATCTGCACTGGCATTTTCCTGTATGTCAGTGAAGGCTGTTAAACTGACCCTGGGGTGCTTGGACAGGGCCATCTTGGTGCCTAAGGACTTATAAGTGTGAGGAAGCAGAGTTCCCTGAGGCAAGAGGCCATGGGGAAGTGCAGAAACAGAAGGCAGTTGTTCAGATGCTGCTAGCTGAGCCTGTCCTTGCTTATGGCTGTCTCGCAGATTGAAAAGGACTTGCTCCGCACGATGCCCAGCAACGCCTGCTTCTCCAACATGAACAGTATTGGGGTGCCACGGCTACGCAGGATACTACGGGGACTTGCCTGGCTCTACCCAGACATTGGATATTGCCAAGGAACTGGCATGGTAACCTGCTTTCAGAGTGCCTTTATGATAGGGATTGTTTTGTCTGTGGTGGCTATGCTGGGGCAAGTGGTTTGAGGCAGTGCTGCCAGACACTATGGCCTCCAGATGAGTTGAAGGGAAGTCCCTTCCACATGGAACAGTTTCTCTAGGGAAGGGAGAGCAGAGTAGCACCACATGTCCAAAGGTGTGGAAGAATTCGGTCCATCTGTTGGGGAGGGACAGGCATTACACTGCAGAGAAATCACTTCAGTGGGAGACTGCAGGAGAGCTGCTGCTGCAGAGGAAGATGTTGGTCATGTAGATACTGGTCCATCTCTCCATGTGAGGAAGTGAGGAAAGAGTTCTGCTCCTCTTAGGACATGCAGTTCTTTTTCCTTCAAAATTCTAGGTGGCTGCCTCTCTGCTGCTCTTCTTGGAGGAGGAAGATGCCTTCTGGATGATGTGTGCTATCATCGAGGAACTGGTTCCTGCCTCCTACTTCAGCACCACCCTGATGGGTGTGCAGACTGACCAGCGCGTCCTGCGACAGCTCATTGTGCAGTACTTGCCCCGCCTGGACAAGCTGCTCCAGGAGCATGACATCGGTAAAAGTGTGCCCTAGAAGCTATAGCTTTTCTTGCCAGGGTGACATGCAGACAAAAATTACTTGTTTTGCTTCACAAAGGGAGAGCAGCAGGGCTAGGAGCAAACCTCCTGGCCCTGGAGGCAGTACATGGTCATCTTTGAGGCAGGAGAGCACTTAGGAGAGTCCATCTTCGCTGGCTGGCTGACTTCCCTTGTCGTGTTTCTTTTCTGTGTCCTACAGAGCTCTCCTTGATCACCTTGCACTGGTTCCTCACCTCTTTCGCTAGTGTTGTCCACATCAAACTGCTGCTACGTATTTGGGACCTCTTCTTCTACCAGGGCTCTCTGGTGCTGTTCCAGCTTACTTTGGGCATGCTCAGTATGAAGGTAATTCCCCACCTCTTCTTCCTCCTTTATAGTACTTCAGTGTTTAATTCTGAGTTTTAGGGGCAAGAAGGTTTTCTATCCAATTCCTGTCTGTTGTTTGGGAATGTGCTCAGGAAGACAACTTCCTGCCTTCCTCAGAACTGGGGGCTGTGAAGAACTTCCAAGGCACTAAACAGGATTCAGGGCTTGCTGTTTCCTCTGCCTACCTCATTTGTTCCCTCATAATTACACTCCATCAGCTGCCCCCCTCTATTCAGTCTAGATACCAACCTGAGGGTCCATCTTACCTAAACGAAGGTACTTCTTGGTTTTGCACCGTCTCTGAGCAGAGATATAAAGCTGAGGCTGTGGTCATCTGGGAAGCTTTTGATGGCACTTTTGAATGCTGCAAGAGATTAGCATCATCTTCACTACATTTGATTTGGCTGGCTTACATTTAACTCCCAGATCTTTTCCTTTTTATGCAAAAAATAATTTTGTGGTTCAGCTTGCTGTGTGGAGGGCAAGGGTGAGCCTTCTGGGAGTAAGGGGAAGGTGGAGCACAGTTTGACATGGTAGGTGCTCTATAATGTGTGAGACTGAGCAGCTTCCATTCCCTTGTCCCCAGCAAGATCCCTGCTGTGCCCAGTCCTGGAGGTGGGTGCAGAATAGCTTCTGTTTTGTCTTTCCTTTCTGATTTGACTTCATTTTAATGATGGATGCTGTGATTCAAAAACATGTCAGCTAGAATTTTGGGGGCAGATCTCAGTGCAGTAGAGTAGTAAAAGACGCTGTTCCCCTCCCATAGGTAGCTTGGACTCTTCCTACTGAAGTTTTTACGGAATTATCTAGTTGTACCTGCATTGTTTCTGGCCCAGGCTGTACACTGAATGTAAAACTGCATCTAGCCCCAAGGGCATAGCTGTTGTACTCACTGTTCTGTGTGGCAAAATGACTGCATTGTTGCAGGAGGATGAGCTAATCCAGTCCGAGAACTCTGCCTCAATCTTCAACACACTCTCGGACATCCCCAGTCAGATTGAAGATGCAGATGTGTTGCTGCGGGAGGCCATGCGTGTGGCTGGCTCGCTGACAGATGTGGCGGTGGAGACCCAGCGTCGCAAACACTTGGCCTACCTCATTGCTGACCAAGGGCAGCTGCTCAACTCCAGCACCACTGTCAACAATTTATCCAAAGTGAGTGCGCAGTCCCATCTGCCTCTGCTGCTCCGTTTTTACCATTCCCTTACATGTTCCCTTGCAATTGCTGTTTGTGAGCCAGAGGTCCTCCTGTCTGGGAGGATTTTGGCTCCAGGATGACTGTGTCATCCAGTGGAGAAAAGGTATTGGGAAGTGAGGGGGAGGCCCGTACTAATGAAATGCTGCCAGATTGGTTGCTAAATCCCCAGGTGAAAGGGATATTGACATTGATTGTAATTATCATTAATGAGACATGATGGAAAGTGTGCATTTTATTAATGGAAACTAAAAGAAACAACATATGCTTTTGGCAGAATTTGCTTGGAGCATGCAGAGGAGGAACTGGAGTTAATCCATTAGTAAGAAACAGATACAATAAAATAACTCTGGAAGGTAGAGTCAGAAAACAGCAGCAGCCTTTGAGAAGCTGAATAAAAAATGCATCTGTGTTTAATCTTGGACTACAGTCTGCAGTTGCGGATGTAGTAGCTCCTGCTTGTCAAGTCTGTGGAAGATACGTTCTTGATGCTCGTCTGTGCGCTAATCACAAGACACTCCTGCAATTCTAAAACGTAATAGGCATCCACTTAGAAATTTATATATAATTACATGTAGAACTGCTTTTGGCAAGAAGTAGAATTAGAACTAAAATTACTCACTCGCATCATGGTTGATTCTTGAACTTCAGTTATGCTTTCATAATAATTGAGCTATAAATAACCCATTGCACATGGAGCAGATCAAGCAGCAGAGCTGATTCATTGTGTTAGAACTAGAAAAACTCCTGTCTAAAATTGCCAGTTCACTTGCCTGCCCCTTCCAGTGGTAGCTGTCAGGGCCTCTTGCCCAGAGCTGACCTGTGTGGAGGATTGCTTTATTTTATTTCTGAAATCTGTCCTAATGTGTACACTTTGTTCTCTCTCTTCCCTCAGATTGTGCGGCGCAGGACTCAGCGCAGGAAATCTGGCATCACCTCTCTGCTTTTTGGTAAGGACAATCCTGTGCCTTTCATGTGGTGTTGTTGGATATAGCACCTAGGAGGGAGGGGAGTGAGCAAAGCAGGGAAACACTGGGACAGAGGAAGAGGAGAGGAGGGAGCCTGAACTGAAGGATGAGAGGGAAGAAGTGCAGTTTTCTACTTGCTTGCTTTGGTCTGAGCTCAGAAAAGTGAATTTTAGGTTAGATGGTTAGTCCTTAAATGATGACTAACAGCAGGCTGCAGCTCAGCCCAGCTATAAGTCCTTCCACTGACGAACAGGTCAAACACGTTTTCTGGCAGACCATATGCAGTTCACAGGCTGCATGTTGTATTCTCCTGATCTTACTCTGCTCAGTTCAGGAATATCTCTGAAGATCTGAGGCCAGGCAGGATGGTCCAGTGTGTCACCCATCAAAATTTATAAATGCAAACATCACTGATGGATCCCTCTTACTTTGGTAGTTCGATGTTGTGAACATCTTCAAGTCTTCATTTCCTTTGCTTATGAGCTAAGCCAGCGTATGTCCAGGAATCACACAGCCAGAATAGGTTTTGCATGAGTTTAAAAGTAACTTGCTACTGTGACTCCGTAATAGCCCTTTCTATTGCAAGCCTCACTGTCATCACCTACCTTGCAACTGGTTAGCTTTCTTGAAATTGCCACATCTCACCACAGAAATTGTTTTTCTGGAGGAAGACAACATCCTGAATTTACAGGGTTCAAACAGTGTTCCTGTTGTGGTTGAAATGTCCTGAATAAATCTAAAATTGGGTTTTACCGGTCTTTTCAGAGAAGAGCTTTTCTGATGTTCTCCAGGAAGCTGATACATTGTCACAGGCTGGCTACAAGCACATAACAGCATTACATAAAAAAGTTATGGTAGAATACTAATGAAGCTGTAAAGTCAAGCACGCAGAAGTGAAGAAAAGCAGGAAAGTTGCTTGTGCAACCTAAACTCAGACTTCCTGTATGTAGTGTTACCATACAGTCAGTACAGACTGAACCGTCAGGGAACTTAGCTACCAAGTGCACCTTTCTTGTGTCTCAGTCTCCTTGGCCAAGTTTCAGTAGCTTTATGAAAGTGATAGCGAGTTATACCCACGCACAAAGATAAAGTTTAAGTTCAAGCTTCAAAATGTATCAATGGTACAACTGAGATGATTGATAGCGTTTTCTCATTTTAGTAGGGTTTCAGTACAGTGACTGTCATGGTTTTTACCAACTATTCTTAGTAATTAAAACATGGGTTAAAATAGAGAGGTTATCATCCTGCCGCAGATGACCAGAATGGAAAACTTCAGCACAAGTGAGGGGAAGGAAAGCTTGGACGTGATAAATTCACCTTACGCTGGAAACTGTCAAACAACCTTAATTGTAAAGTCTGCTGCCTGTGATAGTTACTGTGTAGAGCTGGTACAGAGCCCTTGTCTGGGTGGGAGTAAGAACTTACCAAGAACTTAATTCTTCTTTCTTGGAGTGAATGCAGATTTAGTAGTGACTTGGACAGTAGTCGCAGAATCACAGGAGCACTGTTTGGAAGGGACTTGTAGATGCCTGTAGTCCATCCTCTTCTGCTCAAAGCCAGACTCTTGCTCATGCTAGATCAGGTTGGCCAGGGCTTTCTTTAGCTGAGATCCAAGGAGTTGGACCAGATTTCTAGTGAAGAAATGGAAAGAAGAAACAGCGGAAGGTAGTTTGGCAGAGAACAAGATGTGCGTGTTGCCCTTTTCCTGTTGGATGGGCATTGCAACAAGGAAATGCAAGAGAGCTAGACCTCCTCTGCACAACTGTGCAGCTAGTCAGTCTTTGCAGGCTCAAAATAGAACCACCTCACATGTGGCCGATCCTGCACTGGTTTCCTGTTTTGGACGTGCAGGCGTGTCGGGTGCAGTGAGGTGAATCTGGTGGAAACCCCACTTGCTTTCCTCTGTATCATGTATATTCTAAGGTGGGAGGGTGTGGAACTTGCTTCCCGTATCTCCTGCTTGTGTTTGGGTGGGATTGATCTGAGTACAGAGGGAGGAGCGTGGTATTTTGGCCAGAAGGGACTGAATGATGACAGAAAGAATCAGTGATCTATGTAAATGAGGGCAGCCCACTGAGCTAGTGTAGCTGTGGTTGAGTAGTTTCTTCTTTAGTCACATTCTATTTTAGCAACACGAATTTTCCGGGAATCCCCACCGTCTGCGTGGTCACCTATCTATTTACAGTCTTCGTGTCTCTGAATCTGTAGTGAGACTTCTTACATGCTCTATTTCCTACCCCTGGCCACTGAGGAGGAGGTTTTGTTAATTTTCACTGCTTAGACTGGGAGTAAGTATGCCCTGCAATTTTTCTAGTCCAGAAGCAAAGTTCAGTTTTCTCTTAAGCTCTGTGTGTCTGATTCTCTAATAATTTAATTTAGCAAATAGAAAACAATTATAAAAATAATTTTATAACTAATTTTGTTCTTCTATTTATGTTCTTACAGTTTTAGCCTTTTTAATTAGGATCACTTGTGATTAAAAGATACTGTTAAACACTTTTCAATAAGCAGAAGCTTCATGTGCACATAGCTGTTGCAGCAGCTGTATAGCTCGGGCCACACTTTATTCATACTGGTTTCTGTAATGCTGTTAGAAGATAAGCAGAGTACTAATTTGCTAGCCAATGATTTACTTGGGTCTTGCATAAAAGCTGTGTTTGTATAAAAATTGGAGCTCAGTGAAAAATACATTGTTTTAAATGTTGATTTTGTTAAGCTACCACATCTTCAGTATATTAGAGAGAGAGCAAAAACAGATGTATGAAAATACAGTTTGAATTTAAAACAAACTGAATTTTTTTTTTTTTTTAGAAAAAGAAGCAAATGGTTCATTGTTCCCAAACACCATGTACCCAATTTTTAAGGCATTCAGATACATTAACTGCCTAAAGAATCCATCCCATTAGGTATTTTTCTGCATAAATCAATAGAGATAGGCTGTCAAAACTCCTGGGGGAATTAGTGACAGTTGAAAGATGCTTTGGTAACTTTTACTTTGTACTTATGACCATTTCTATACACCCAAAACCTTTGAAGTCTGGCTCTTAGGGAGATTGAGTTCTTAAGTAGATGGTGGCTTTTCTCTCGTGGTTCTGACTTCTAGACTGACACAGGAAAGTGGGCTGTCTTCGTTTTTCAAATCTTTTTCAAGACTCAGTGAAGAATATGCTCTCAGCCTGTGAGGTATGCAAAAATCAGAAGTAGTTCAACCAAAAGCTATTTCGGTTTCAAGAGAATTTCAGTTGAAGAGAGTTTTTGAAAGTTCCCTAGTTTTGTGTCCCATCATTCAGCTGTCTATATACCACGCAGACGCTTCTCTAAAGCAGTACACAGTACCTTGGTATACTGAGTTGTCCAGACGGATCAAAGATGACATCTTCCAGCTCCATATGTGGTTTGAAATACCAGCTCCTTAAAATTTGAGACAGTCAAATTGGTATAGGTTATTTACATTATTGAATAGATTGGCAGTAAGTACCTGCCTTAGTGTAGGCACTTCTAATGTCAGGCTCTATTTATTTCTGTAGAATCAATGATTTCTAATGTTATCAAAAAAATAAATACCTCATACTTGTTTTCCTTTCCTCGCCTTCCCTCTGGCTGTGTGGGCTCCCCCAGGGGATGACGATCTGGAGGCACTGAAAGCCAAGAACATCAAGCAGACGGAGCTGGTGGCCGACCTGCGTGAGGCCATTCTCCAGGTGGCACGGCACTTCCAGTGTGTGGATCCCAAGAACTGCAGCATTGTGAGTGGGAACAGCTGGATCTGCAGCGCTCTGTGCGCCAGGCATGAGTGTTGAGTGTCCACCACAGGACAGGGCTGTTCAAATGCTCCTGCAGTGTGTGGGCTCGAGGAAGAACATGCCAGGTGCAATGGGTCGAGGGTGAGGGTTGCTCAACCCATCCCTGGTCAAGGAGGGCTGCACTGGGAGGTTGTCTGCCTGCTAGGAGAAGGAAGAGGTTTGGGAACAGGGGCATGCAAGCTTTGGCAGATCAACTGGGAGTCATCTGTTGCTTTTCATTCCTCTTTGCTCTTCCTTCACATGCATGCTAGGATCTGACTCCAGACTACAGCATGGAAAGCCACCAGCGGGACCACGAGAACTACGTGGCCTGTTCTCGCAACCGACGACGACGAGCCAAGGCACTACTGGACTTTGAGCGCCACGATGACGATGAGCTGGGCTTCCGCAAGAATGACATCATTACGGTGTGTCAGCCTATGAGACAGGGACCAGGGCAAGACAATGCAGACCCAAATTGTTTGGGACGCTGCATTGCCTCTTTTGCGGGGAAAGAAGGAAGGAGATCAGCTCAGACCCCAGTTAGGAGTCCAAGGGAAGCAGTTGGTGTTTCTTGGGGCTGCCTGGGGATGAGGCAGTATGTTCCTGTGAGTGTTGTCTTGTGGGTCATTCTCAATGCAACCACAAAGTCCCTTTCCTGGCTGCCATACAGCTGAGCAAAAGATTGACTTGGTCCAACCTGGGTCCTGGTTTAACACTCTGCACTAAGCTGTGGTAAGACTGTAGAAGCATCCCTTTGCATTTTAGCTATGGGCGTCCCATCTGAAATTGGGGAAAACAGGGATAGCATTTTGTTTGCAGTAGCTTTTTGCCCTTGAAGGCCCTGGGCCATGTGAAAAGAGAACATTGGCAAAACAGTTGAGAAGAAAGCAGCTCCTCCTTGTGTGCACACAGCCAGGCAGCTGTAGCCCTCCTGGCACTGGACTCTCTTCAACCAGTGTTTTCCACTCCCTGTTTTTCAGATCATTTCCCAGAAGGATGAGCACTGTTGGGTGGGAGAGCTGAATGGACTGAGAGGTGAGAGCAGGATTGTTTGCACTGGGGAGAGTGGGGCCAGATGCAGAGCAGCCATTCATCCACAGCAACTGCTCTGGCACGTTTGCAGCAAAGGCTCTGCCAGTTACCCAGAGCATCTGTCATGGACAAGGGAAATGTTAAAACAGGGTATGAGAGTGGTGCAGCTACCTGGTTACTTCTCGCAGACAGCAAGTTTAGGCTCCATCCTCCTGGCACACAGTGGTTGGGTGCATGTCATCTCTGCCGCTTGTGGGCAGTGTCCTGTAATTGGCTTCCTCTTGCAGTTGCCTTAATTCTTGTGATTTTGAGGCTGCTCTCTTCCTTCTGTGGGGTTGGACCCTATGAACTCTGATTTATTCTGTTTCCACTGGGCTCTGGTCTTGTCTGTGTTAGAGGTTTCTCAGTGTCAGACTTGCTTCTTTGCCCATTCTTTATAGGTTGGTTTCCTGCAAAATTTGTTGAGATCTTGGATGAACGGAGCAAAGAGGTAATTAAAAAAACAAAACACAACAACAACAACAACAAAAAACCCCCAACATAAAAAAAAAAAAAAAGTCATGTCATAGCTGAAAAAACATAGTTGAAAAGAGCCATATATTTCCCTTCTTGAGTCAGTCTGTTTGCGCTCTCTGGCTATTGAGCGCTTCGTGATGTGATCAGGCAGCTTATCTTCCTAAGCCTGTTTGCTCAACTTCCTGATGCTGACCGAGTGGAGAATGAGGGCCCCAGAGGGCTGCAGGGGGTAGCTGAGTGCGATGCCTGGGCTTGCAAGGCCCCTAGAGATGAGCTTCAGGAAAGCTGAGAAAGCAGCAGGCAGGTACGCAGGAGGATCCTGTGGGCAGCATTTCTGCCTGCTCCCTGTGCTCTCTTCCTCCTTTGAGGCTGTGCCTGTGGATCCCGCTCATGCTTTGCGGTCACCACAGTGGATTCTCCCCGAGCAGCTGTGCCCGAGGGGGCACTCCATCTCAGTTTCTCTCGCAGCCAGCAGCGCTGAGATGCTGTCTAATCAGAGCAGACACCTCAATATGGCCCCAAGGCTGGGGTGACGGATGAGAGACAAACATCGTCAGCTGTCAGCCTAGGCAATTTGCAGGGGAAGCGGAGAAGGCCCTCTTCTCCCCCTCCTCCTCAGCATTTGGAGAGTGAGGAAGGGCTCATAGGCTGACCTGAGACCCCAAGAGAAGCCCCTAGAGAAATGTCACTATTGACATCTTGCTTCCTCGCCCCCTCCTCAGGGCTGGTTCCTTAGGTGCAGATCACCTCTGTGTATGAACACACCCCGTACTGCTGGGCAGTTCTCCTCCCAACTGCGGAAATAGAGAGGATCCCACTCGCCCTAATTTTGGAATATCCTTCATGCTAACAGCATGTCAGGGTGATACCTTGGAGTGGTGTACCAGCTGACCTGGGAATTCCCATCTACCCCCATTTGCCTTGACTTCTAGCAGCTCACAGAGTCCCAGAGACGCTCAGTGGCAAGTCCTTCTCCTTACCTTAGCTCAGTCAGCATCACACCAAACCCCAGCAGTTCGTACGTGCTGAACGCTGCCAGGATGGTGCTGGGGTCACCTGTGTGGTCTCTTGGGCAGCACCTGGGCACAAAGGTCCTGGCATCCCGTCAAATCCCAGGGGAGTAGCACTGAACATGGTGCCTTTTGCAAGAGCCAGCAAGAGCATAAGGGCTTAAGGCGGGCGGGGGGGAGGTGCTGGGCACCTGGGAGGGGAAGAGGTGTGTGCAGAGAAGCTGTAGGTGAGCAGACCACATCCACACTCTGCCCCCTTGTCAGTATGCTGAGAGCTGGCTCTTCCTCTTCCTCAGTACTCCATCGCTGGAGATGATTCAGTCACAGAAGGGGTGACAGACTTGGTGCGAGGGACACTGTGTCCAGCCTTGAAGTCCATATTTGAACATGGACTGAAGAAGCCATCTCTGCTGGGGGGGCCCTGCCATCCCTGGCTGTTCATTGAAGAGGTGAGATGTCTCGGTTCCCGTCATGGGGCAGTGTTGCCGGGGGGCTAGGGTGAGGGGGCTGTAGGGCAGAGTGCACTGACTGTCCCTCTGCCTTCCTAGGCTGCAAGCCGGGAAGTGGAGCGGGACTTTGACTCTGTGTATTCTCGCCTTGTGCTCTGCAAGACTTACAGGTAAGGCCACTTTATTCACACGAAGCAGCTGGGTCTGCGCCCTACTCCTGCGTGCTCATCAAACAGCTGCTGCTCTCCACTTTGGGCAGGGTCATGGTCTGCCCCATCCTCCTGTCAGAGTGGTGTCAGCAGGCTGCTGTGCCCGTGCTGACTTGGGGCTGGCAGTGGCTCTTGCCCCTCTTCCTCACACTCCTGTGTTTGCTTCTGGGGCTGTATCTTGCTCTCTCGCGGCTGCAGGATCACCTGTGGGCTCAGCAGTAGCAAGGGAGCTGTTGGGTTATGCAGGGGGAAAGGCCTGCTTGTGCCTGGGGTGGCTCCGGAGCTAGCTAGCTAGCTCTCTGCTGTGATTTTTGCAGGCTTGATGAAGATGGCAAAGTCCTCACTCCAGAGGAGCTGCTTTACCGGGTGAGTGCTGCCCCCAGCCCAGCCAGAGCCCAGCTCCTAATGTGGGGAAGTTTCCCATGGAGGCTGCTGGAGGGTGATGCCCTTCTCTAGGGAGATGCTCGAGAGTCTCCCAGACCTTTCCTGACAGGAAGCAGTAGAGACACCAGGTGCCTGGGGAAGGGCAGAAAGTGAAGCCATCAGGAAGGCTTGTCCTCTCTGATGCTACCAGGTGGCACTGGGTGAGGGTGGGGAGTTCTGGGGAGTGGAACATTTGTCCGTGTTGCTGAAAGGGCTGCCCAGCCCAGCCTAAGGCTAAGCTGGGAAGGCGGTAACCGCATCTTCCCACCCTGCAGGCGGTTCAGGCTGTGAACATGACGCACGATGCTGCACATGCACAGATGGATGTGAAGCTTCGTTCCCTCATCTGTGTTGGACTCAAGTGAGTCATCCGGTCCTGATACCCCTGGGTGGAGGGGGGAGGTGTGAGGAGCTTGGGAGGGGGCAGAGTGGGCTCAAAGGCAGCAGTTGCTTCAATCTATCTTAGGCCACGAGGTCTTTTTCTCCCTCTCACTGCAGCCACTGAGTGGGACCTGCTCCTTTCTCGTTCATCATGCTGGCCTGGCTCCTGGCTGGAAAAAGTAGCTCTCATTGCATGAAGTGGCTCACACAAGTTTACTGGGTTATCCTGTTCCCACTGGGGACAGGACTGTGGGGCTGGGGTCAAGGTTTGGGCTGAAAATAGACTGTCCCAAAGGGATGGGGCTTCTTTCCCTGGCTTCGGCCGAGTAACATGCCTCCACCCCATCGCTGCAGCGAGCAGGTGCTGCATTTGTGGCTAGAGGTGCTGTGCTCAAGCCTGCAGACCGTGGAGAAGTGGTTCCATCCCTGGTCATTCCTGCGCAGTCCTGGCTGGGTGCAGATCAAATGCGAACTGAGGTGAGTCTGTCCCCGTGGGCCTTGCCAGGCTCTGGAGTGGATTTCCTCCTCCCCTGCAGGAGGTGGCCCTCGCTATGGCTGGCTTTGGACCCTCTCCAGTGAGTAGCAGCACGGGCTGCCCAGACATCCCCACTGCAGAGATTTCCTTCTGTGTGCTGAGGCAGCAGCAACTGTCTAGACAGTTTAATGCGATGCACTGTGCCTGCCTGATCAAGAGCAGAGCTTGGCTCCTGGGGAGCTGTCGTGCCCACGCGGCAGTTTCCTGGGGAGCTGTCGTGACAAGCAGGCAGCCTCTGTCTGCCAGCAGCCTCCTGCTGTGCCCTGCACCTATTCTGATGGTGCCTTTTCCAACATCTGCTCTCCAGGTCCTCTGTCAGCCACCATGAGTCCCAGCAAGGAACCGGGAACGTGCTAGGGAGACAGTCTGGCTTTCACTGGCCGGGAAGTAATCAGTCACCAGCTGACTCCTGGTTATGTGAGGGAGCAGTGTCAGGGGCTGAACGCAGCTGAGCTCACCCAAAGCACATCGCTTGGGGCCCAGGGCACGCATCCCCACTGCTTGCTCCTGGCCCTCCTCCACTCTGCAAAGCCACATCCAGTCCCAGGGAGCTGCAGAGCAAACCTCCCCCCTGCCGCCACCACCACTCCAGCCCTGCTGCTGCCGCCATCCTGCAGGAGCTGGCTTTTGTCCGTGCCACCCAGTTACCTCTGGCCCCGGTGGGAGCATCTGTAGCCAGGAGCAGGCCTGTGTGTACACAATCCCGGGGTGCCCTCTGCTCCTTGTGCTGCTGCTGAACGGGAGGAAGGGAGTCCCCTCCACCTCTGTGCTGCCGTGTCCCGTGGCTGCTTTCTCGCAGCACGGGGGCAGTGCTAGTTCAGCACAGCCGAAGGACCAAGTGGGACTGGTTCACGGCTGGGCCCAGGTTTGTGCGGAGCAGGAGCAGAGGCTTGTGCTGTATCTCTCCCAGCCAGCTTCCTGTGGAGGGCCTCGGCTCCCTCACTGCTGCAGGAGTTGGAGGAGACCCCCACACAGGGGTTTCCCCTGAGCCTGAAGGACTGATGAGCTTGTTGCCAGGAGGTCTGAGCTGTGCATCCCTGTCCTAGGGACAGGCGAGACTGTGCCTGCAGCCCCTGCTTAGAGCCGGGTCCAGCAAGGGAACTCCGCATGCCATCCCTGTGCATGGGGGTCAGGACACTTTCCAGGGAGAGAAAGAGAGGGGTGCAGAAACTCTGAGGTGCTCCGGCAGGAGTCTGCTTTCTGGAGAGGAACCTGCAGTCCCCCGTTGCCAGCTGCGTGCAGTCCTCAGCCATGCGTGTCTGCCGCCTAGCAGAGCCCGGGGCTGCCCGTGCCTCCCTGCGCTGCTGCGTCAGGCTCTGTAGGGGTTGCGCTTGAGTCACATCTTCAAGTTTCTCTTTCCACCCTTGGCCTGGCAGGGTGTGAAGCCCAAAGAGGAGGAGGGGAATGGGGGATGAGTGGCTGGTGCTGCCCTTTCAACACCAACAAGAATTTCATCCTTGCAAGCTTAGTGGCGTGCCGGGGCAAGCTGGGGAGCTGGTGCAGTTGTGTGCCCAGGGGCAGCAGTTGTGGGCACAGGCTGGGGGTGTGATCCGGGTGTGTGCGCGTGTGTGTTACCATCGCTCTCTTCCATTGCAGAGTCCTCTGCAAGTTTGCCTTCAGCCTTTCTCAGGACTGGGAGCTGCCAATAAAGAGGGAGGTGAGTAGGTGGCATCTCTCATTCTCCCTCTCAGCCGCGGGCTTTGCTTACCGTCTCCCTCTCCCAGCTTTGTGCTCCAGCCCATCCTCTGCCTCCTCTTGAGCCAGCGCCAGAGGCTGTGGACGGGGCCGCTTTCCCTGCCAGGGCAGGCTGTGCACTGGAGCTGTGTGGCAGTTCTGGCAGAGGGTGCTGCCTGCCCCTGCCCAGCTGGGGCAGGGGGAAATGGCAGGCCCCTCCCTTCCCCGGTGCTCTCCAAACCGCAGGGTCTCTCCCTGTTTCAGCTGCACAGAGGTGGGAAGTGCAGAAGGGCTGCTCTGTCTGGGTGCCGGGGACCTCGGCGTGCTCGGGCTCTGCCCACAGACACAACCTCCCCTTTTCTGCGTGCGGCGCACTGACCTGGGTCTGTCATCCTGCAGGAGAAGGAGAAGAAGC